TTAAACCCGCACAAGGGATTAGCCAGCTGGGTGACAGGTATAACTTTAATTAGATTTTTGGGCTTTAGCCAGCAAATGCATCCCCACAGAGCTAAGTGCCCAGGTACTGAAGCACACGCTTGTCAGGGTAGCGGATGACAGGCCTCGTAACAGATGAGAGCATTATGAGACAGTCTGGGAATATGGCTAAACTGATGTCTAATATACATTGCTTAGAAAGGAGAAGGAAAAGACTATGACTTGCTCCCCCCCTTCCCCCACCCACCCTGAGGAGCACAGAGAACACCTGAACCAGGGGCAAATCTAAAATAAAGATTTACCGCTCTCCATCACCTTCATCAAACGCACACACACACGCACCCTAAAACGAGAGCCTTAAGTCTCTGGAGCCAAACAATGTATCAAAGTCGGAGATGTGAGGGAAAGGATGTGAGAATCCAAGCAGCATTCCCATCACAGACCGCAGGAGCTAGGACACTTTAAACATCACAGTAAGGACGCTGACTTGCAAATAGTGGGGGTTTTTTGTGTTTTTTGCAAAGGCCTCCAGATTTCCTTGAAGGAATATGGGTCCCTCTGGTGGTAAGGAGGTATAATACGATGAAGGGGATCTATCTGCGAGACACTTATGGAACCTGCTTTTTGTAAAAAGAATTCCAAAGTAAAAATCAAGCTTGTATTTGCCAGAACCTACCGACAGAGCCTGCACCATTGCAAGTACTCGATAAATGTCCTTTGAATAAAATGAACAAACTGCAGATTACAATACATGCTGAGTCAACTGACACTAGGTCACCACAATCATGGACAATTAAAACAAACATGGCCAAACTTCTCAGCGTCCAAGCACGGTCAGACACAGTCCATTCACAGGCCTCTATCCAAGCTGTATTTTCAGACAGGCGTTGTCTCCCTCCAAAATGCTTAAACGCAGACACAATGAGACTGCAATAAATGGTTTGGGCATGAGCAAAGGATGGTTTGATCACATCCGAAACATGGCTGGTTGGCTTACCATCAGAAAGAATTCAGGGAATGCTTTAAAACCTAGTACTGCTTGACAGGGGACCACCGCAGAGGCTTTGAGTCAAGGCTCACCTATGTTCCCCACTGATTTTGTAGCTGTCCAAGAAACAAGAATAATGGGAAACAGCTGGATGTAGTCCCAGGGACTGAAAACTTTAATGCTTACAAGCTTACCGACCTGGATGACACTGATCTGGCCCTCTGCAAAACTGCTTTAATTGAATAGGGTGTTGTCAAAGACTGTATGCTGCTCAGAGAACTCTTTCTAAAACCCGCCCCAGGCAATATTTCCCTCAAGCCTGAGTGCTGGCCAAAGCTGTTCTTTTATCTTAGCAAGTTCATCTTACAGACACCGGAGACCTTGTAACTGAATTTCCCTTTTTACTTTCGCTGCCAAGAGCTTCCAGCTGAATTTAAGTCCCCCTCTCCAAGAACCACAACCTGCATTTCTGCTTACTGCTGGTTCCACTTTTTTCTAGTCACTGTTATTTTTCCTTGACCTTAATGTCTTTATCTTTATTTCGAATCTCATCTAACTTTATGACCCATGAACCTCTGAAAATGTTTTTGAAACACCAAAAGGAATAAATTACAAGTTTTAAAGCTTCAAATAATCAGAATATTTCAGGTTGGGCATTCTTATTTCCCCAAAACAACATACACTCTCACGCCTCTGCACAAAACCCCCCTCCCTACCTGTCCAGCAATCTTTAACTCAAACTTCAGAACCGGTTCAAAAGTTACTTTCCCCAGAAGCTTGCTCCGACCCTGCAAGCCACTTCCTTACCCTGTGTTCCAGTGGTACTTTGTTTGTATCTCTGTCATGGACTTGTCCCCACACATGGACTCGTCCCCATACCTAGTCAAGGAACCGCACAGTGTTCAATGGTGATAAATATGTAAATGGATTCTTTCCTTTGCCAGGGCAGAAATACGGGCCATTAAAAGGTCTGGTTTTCTGTTTGTTTCAATCTAATAGCAACTGCAGCAGCCTCCGGTGAGTGGAAGACTCTAGTTAAAGAGCCTCGTTAACAGAACAAGCTGGTCAGACACGCAGAGCCAGGGGTCATGCTCGACCGCTGCACGCGCCTGACACCGCAGGCAAAAGCACCGCCCCATCACGTTTCCCCAGACTCTGAACAAGCCAGTAACCCCAAGATCTGGTATAAAACATTCACATGAGATGGACATAGCCAAACACTTAGAATATAATCAGAAGTTAAGCAGAGATACCACTGTGATGCAATACATACGCGAAAAGAAACCACGGCCACATTATCTTGTCAGAAACATCTATGAGCTGATGTAGAAAAGCGGTCATGATGAGACGTCAGAAGCTCTGAGTCACAGGCACGCTCACCTGAGGGACGCATTTAGAGCACACAGCCGTGGTTTCAGTCTGCCCAGTGCCCTAAAACAAAACAGCGCTTTCTCTGGGTCACAGCTCATCCCCCTCACTGACAACGGCGGTACGCACACACACTTCTGAAGAAGAAGAATGGGCATGTGAGCCAAGCTGGGTCTCCCAGGACCTGGCCATCCTGACAGGGAGACAGCTGGGGAAGTGGAGAGTGAGTCCTCCTTCCTCTCATGTGATCCCAGCAGGGCGGGCGATGATGGGTCCAGCCACTTGGAACTGGAGTAAGAGGACGCAAGAGAGGGCAGCCAGCTCTCAGAGAAGCAGAGACGCGGTCCTGGCAGCGTCCCAGTCGCCCCGGGCCTTCCGGGAGTTTAGTTACACGAGGCGATAACAAATGTCCCTTTGCCTAAGAATCCATCTTTTTATCAACAGCAGCCTGATATTACTTTAGAAACACCAGTATTTACATGGATAAGTGAATTATGGAACAACAATGTCTGACAATAAAGGAATAGGTAAATAACTATAGCATAGCCACTCTATGTAGTTATCTAGCTATTGATTACCAACAGTAAGTTAAAATGTAAAAAAAATTACATATTTTATATATAGGTATACATATGTGTGTATTGAATGAATGTTTCTTATGACAGTGAAGGAGAAAAGGGATGAGCCATTTTAATCTAAAAAAAAAAAATCGGTTATCTAACAAGTTTTGTTAACCTAAACAAATTAAATTGTGAAAGATGTAAGAACTGACTATGAAAACGGCACCATTATAAAAGGACCCCCGGCCAGTCTTGCCTGCATCGCATCCGTAAAGGCGCACGAGTCAACTCTTACTCTTTTCATTCAACTCAAGCGTCATCTCCTCCTGGAAGGTTTCCCTGACTGCTCCATCCCACAGAGACCTTTCACACCGGACACACAAGCTACCTTAATTAGCTCCAGATTGTAAACTGCTCTGCATTTTGTCATGTATAACATTTTTTCAACTCCCTGAAAAAAAAAATGAAACTTTCAGAGGCCATGCCTTGGGTTTTCATCAGCAACTAAACCAGGTACATTTGGTGTTCAACATCGAATGAATACAGGGAGATGTCTCTTAATAACGTGCAATAAACTGGTATGGTCCAATATTGCTGGTGGCAGCATAAACTAGACCAGGCTTTTGGACAAATAATTTGGCAGCATGATTAACTATTATAAAACATTTACACCGCTTGACCCAATAATCTCACTTCTCAGAATCTATCTAGGGATTTCAAGAGAAAACACCTTTATACCCAAAGATGTTCATGGTAGCATTATTTTAACAGCCAAAATGTTCAACGGAAGAGGAAATTAAGTAAATCATGTGACATCCATTCGGTGAAGAGTATGCACCACTCAGCATAATCACTCGACAGAGTCTACAACAACACGGGACATGCCCACAATAGAGGAATGGATCCAAGGACAGACGGTTTTTAGCCTCTGATTCGAGGCGGGCCCAGCAGCACCAGGACTGAGGGGTGACACGGAAAGCCAGAGTTACTTAATTTGAGTGCTGAAGCTGTAAGTAACAATTTCTTATTTTTCTAAATTTCTACTACTGCTCTCTTATGTTCATTCAAGTTTTTGTTAAGCTATACAAACATTGTATTTAATTCTCTCGTTAACATTAGCATGAGGATTTCAAACTATGGCTCTTGGCGTCCCTGACAACAGCAGCCACCAAAGAACTAACCTCTGGTACCCGTGGCTCCCTTCTGAGCTCTCTAATGATTCTGCCTGCCCCAGACTCTTGTGCAGGTAACTCAATTAACCTGTGCGCCAACGACCTAGGTGTCAACCATCACTCCAACTCAGGCCTTCTCCTACCTAACTGCAAGGCTCATGTATCTAGACGTAACTCTCAGGACGCTGAATACTTACATTTAAATATAATAGAAACTTTAAAAGATAAACTAAGAGAGAATTTTTTAAAAACTAACACCCAGAACTGAATAGAACAGTCTTAAAAAAAAAAAAATCACTCATATAGGGAAACATGGCATAATCTTCTCAGAGAACCATCTGAGTCTATCTATAAAACAGTCCTAAAAATATTCATATTCTTTGACCCAGTAATTATATCTCTATCAGGGAAAAAAAATCAGTGGATAAATATTTATGTATAAGGATGTTTGCTACAGCATTTGTTATAAGGCAAAAAAAAGTATAATGACCTAAATATCCTATAATGACAGACTAGTTAAATACAATCTAGCACATCTAAGTGATGAAATATTATGCCTGCACAAAAAACCATGTTTTTGAAGAACATTCATAACATGGCAACATACTAAAGAGAGAACACTAAATTAAAAAAAAAAACGATGAAGAAAAGTGCATTTTCACTTGGACACCAATAATGCCTGGGCCAGGGGGATTGAGTATAAAAGGACCGAAACATCAACTAGTGAGGACTGGTCATTGCTAGGTGATCAGATGATGAACAAAATATTTTCTTCCGTATATTTTTCGGATTTTCTAAGTTTTCTGCAACGAATCTCTCCCTAAAACCAAAAACGGCCAAGCAGCGGAGCCTCCCAGCACTGCCCGCCACCCAGGAAGGGAACGGGGTGCTCACGTGGATGGCGCAGTCTCCTTGGCTCTTGTCTCGATGAGCTGCCTCCAGCTCCTTCTCTAGTCTCTCCTTCTCCTGCCGCAGGTCACTCAGCTCCTGGGTGACCTTCCTAATGCTCTTCCGCAGTCTGTGGTTCTCCGTACTCTTGGTGAGGTTTTCTGAGTGCAGCTCAGCCAAAAGGGCTGCCTTTTCTAGCAGAGCAGCCTCGCAGTCTGCAGCCCCCTAGAAGAGGAGGGAGAGAGGGGACGGAGCTGATTTTCTCAGCTCATTAAACAGACCAAGAAATCTGTGCTCCTTTTTCACCTGGGGGGGAGGGGTTAGCATAAACATTCAGGACCCAAAGCACAAATAATATGAAGACTGAAATGACTCGGAGTGATGTTTATGTTGTGATGCTGATGTGAAGGGGTGAGGGACCACGACTGTGTGAAAACTCTTTTTATGACGAGAAGGAAAAGTACAGAATGTCAACGGGAACTCTTTCATGGGGTGGGAATATAGCTGACTTTTTCCCCTTCACTTCTCTGTATTTTCAAAGGTTCTATGGTTAATGAGCATGTAACTTTTATAATGTTTTTTTTATTCAAAAAGACTATTTTAAAAAGGTAGAATGAAGAGCTTCATTTGAAGAGCAGAGATGGATTCAAGCCCTGGCGATGTTGAGATGTTGATTTACATTAGAATGGCTCAAACCCAGGGTTGTCTGGAGAAAAAGGAGTGGCCAGTATGGTAACCCAATGGCAACCTCAAAAGGCTATAGATTCTGCAGAGGCCTAGGCCTAAATGTGTCAAGTACATTTTTACTTCATTAACACAGTTTACTGGAGAAAATACATATGTGATTATCGAGCATATTAAAAAAATGTTATAACTCACCAATAATGAAAAACAGCAAATTAAAACAAGCATTCATTTAATAAGTGAAATTGTTTTAATGAGAGTATCTAGTGCTGGCCAGCTTACGGTGAAATGACACAATGAATACTCATTTCCTAAGAACTGTCCAAGCATCTAGAAGTCAGGAAATATGCTGGCAAGAATGTGTATTGATGATATATATATATATATCAAGTGTGTATGTATCATATAAACATGTTCACACCCATTCCAATAATCGCATTCCTAGGATTCAATTTCAGGGGATGAATTCAAAATATTGGGGGGAGGGAGCCTAATAAAGGCTTTCAGTATCCCGCTTCAGTCCAGGCGCAGCTGGGCCCCAAATCTAATCAGAGTCATTCATCACAGAATTACTTAGAATGATAAAAAATAAGAAACAACCTAAATGTGCAAGAATATGAAAATGGGTAAGTAAAATATGATCAAGCTACACAATGAAATCTTAAAACTATATTTACAAAGAGTTGATAATATATTTCTAAGTCACAGTGTTATATGAAAAAATGAAAGATCAAATTGTAAATGATCTGAAAAATAAAATGCGTGCATAGAAAAAGCCTAGAAGGAAAAATATCAAAACGTTAATAGTGGCTGAGTGATTTCCTGGCTTCCCTTTTTCCCTCCCTTCTAGTCCTCTGAAAAGAAAATTTTTGAAGCATATATAATACTTATAATCAAGAGAAAATACACTTATTTTTAAAAAATCTCTGCCTTGAATTAGACTGAGGCTCAAGATTAAAAATTCAAAGGCAACACTTGAGCTCTCAAGGTCAGAACTCGGGCCGTGGATTAAAGGGACTGGCTCCAACTTCTTGGCCTCTCTAGGAAATCCATCCTGGCCGCCACTGACAGGCTAGTCTCAGAGAGTAGGCTACCACCTTGGCAGTCTGGAGGAGGAGGGGCTCTGCTGCTTCCGAGCCACCCATGGCCCAGCCATCTGGGCCCATGTCCCCAACTGCTACTTAGGACACAGCGACAGAGGCTGAGGGAGCTCTCCATTCAAACTTCAGAGCAGGTTTTATAGAAGCTTCTGTTTCAGTTTCCTATAAAATTAAAATAAGTAAAAAAAAGTGGGAAAGTTAAGTCACAGGCCAAAAAAAAAAAAGTATTTGGGGCAGGACTTATTTAAATAAACTCAAAAAATAAAAGAAAATAAACAACGACTGGAAAAGGCCCATCTGTTTTTCAGTTATCTTTTATTAAGGACTGATTATACATATGGAGCTAAAACAGGCACTTTCACACACATTAATCTCTATTTTTGATACCAACCCTACAAAGTACACATTACTATCCCTCTTTAAGTAACTGAGGCTCAGAACTGTTAAACAAGTAGCCTGTCATCAGACTAGAGTGATTACAACTGGGATTCACAGGACTCCAGAGCCCGTGTTCTTTCCACTGCTTGCCCATGGCCAGCGCAGATTCCAACACTAATAAACAACCAGGAATTAAGATAAGCACTGAATTCAAGGAGGGATGGCTAGAGACAAGGGCATGAGTTAGGAGCTGGTTAGACATAGAACAGCAATGGGTAGTATTTAAATAGTTATTATAAAGTGATGAAATTTCTGCAGGATTATCATACAAGTAATGACGGCAAAGCCTCTTTAAAAATCCAAGCTCAAAGAATTCAAATTCATACATTCTAGTCACTTCATAAAAACACTTTCCACATTAAATTTTCTTTAAATGGCCCTTTGCAAAAACTTCTCTGGAGAGTTTTTTACCTTTTTCTGCATGACACCCTGCTTTTTGAATTCCATCTCATCAGTTAGGTGTTTATAAAGAGTGGCAAACATTTGGCCCAACTCCAGCTGGTCAGAAACTAAAGGCCAAATATAATATTAAACAAATCACCCTTCCCTACAGTGTACAAATCCATTTAATAAAGGCAGAGTCAGAAAGCTCAGAGTTCAAGTTCTAGCTGCAGGTGTGACTTGGGGGAAGTTAATTCTCTAAGTTGTTTCCTCATCTGTGAAAGTAACAACCTCTATTTCACAGGGGTGTTGTGAAGATTAAATGTGATACAAAAAGTTCCATTTCGGTGCGTGCAGGAAAGATAAACCTAGTTCCCCTTTTCCATCACTTACTTCGTTATCTTTCATTTCCAACTAAAAGGTCATACGGAGAGTTTCCACAAACTGAAATCTATGTGCATAATACCACCAGCAGAAAATTTGAAAAACAGATCGGAGTAATACTATGTTTTTATGCTAGAAGATGTGCCATGCAACTTAAGGATGAGTTAACATATACTGAGTTACAACCTGCACCCTGATACTTTCTTAATTAATCCTTGTAAGGATTATGGAACATAGTGTGATTTTCCAGACTTTAGGACGAGCAAGCCTTCTGGGAGAACTCAAATATCTTGTCCAAAGTTACACAGTTAGTGAAGAGCGGAGCCAAGACTCAAATCCATGTCCCACTCCATGTTCTTCCCAGTAAAAAATAATACAGTATATACATACAATGGACTAAACGCAGCTGTTTAAAGACTGTTTAAAAAGCACAGAGATACACACACACACACACACACTCATAAACATATGAGTGCATGTCAAACTGCTGAAATCTGAACAAGGTCAATGGACTGCACCAATGTCGACTCTCCTGACTATGATATTGGACTAGTTACACGAGATATTACATAAAGGGTTAAGGGCATACAGAAATCTACTGCATGTGAATCGACAATTATCTCAAAATAAAAATTACAAAAAAAAAAGTTTGGCTAGATCTATATATACTACCACGGTAAGAATGTTTGATGGAAAAAAAGATTATAGAACAAAATACAAATTATGATCCCATTTAATTTTTCGAAGGCGTTATATATATATGCATGTTTGTATGTGTAAACATGCACTATTAACAAAGGTGTTAATAGTGAACATCTTTGGACATGAATTTATTGGTAACTTTTATCAACCTTTTCCCACTATTTTAGTTGTTCCATAAATTTCCAACAATGTACAATTTTACTTTTATATAGCTGGGCAGGGAGGGCAGAAAAAATGTCATTTCCAATTTGAAGATATGTTTTTTCAATGGGTAAAAAATTTACATACTTTTAAACAGGCAGAGCCAGCCCACACGATAACTTTCACAGTGTCGTGCCTGTGACTGGAATTCGCGTCTCTGGGCTGTGGCAACCGCTTCAAGAGTCTGAATTACTTGCTGTTGCTTCAGTGTCAGGCTTGATGCCAACCCTGTGAGCTTTGGCTATTTTATTCACACTGCAATTAGTTCAAATCATATATCCCGAAAAGGCCCCAAAATAGGAGAGAAAATGCATTTTCAAGTGTCTGTGTCACATGGAAACTACGTATACCTCATAATGAAATAACCAACATAAGCATCCTGTGTGCGGTGACTCACACAAACAATCGGAACAGTGGAAAGAACACAGACTCCACAGTCAGACTTGAGTCCAAGTTCCAGCAACCTGTTGAATCGTAAACACGCTGCCTTCGTGGGTAAGGACCACATGAGTGCCCTCGGAACAGCCAACGAGACACGAAGAACCTCAGGAGCTTCGACAGGTCCTCACCTCTGTACGTGGCAAGACAAGAAACCCGCCAACTCTGTACACGACCAAACCTCACAAACCATTCTGAAAGTCTATCGACTAGGACTGAGGGTTATGAAATTAATAAATGTACGTATAAATCTAGATAACACTTAAATGTATAAGTTTACTTATTTCCTTTCAAGGCCCAACATAAGTCAAATATCTCGGTGCTTATAAGGACGTCTGATCTCTGCTTGTCAATTGCCTATTTTTTTTTTCTCAAGCAATGGCAAATACAAATGGTTTTCCTAAAAAATCAGCTTTTAAAGTTTGTTATTTTTTACATGAAGAGCTGAGTATGATCCCAGCTCCATTTCATCAATCACTGTCAAATGGTGGGGAAGGCAAGTCTGAGGTTCCAAAAGCAGAGACTGGTCTCTCCTTCTGGTGCATTAGGATTTAAACCAAATTATTTCAATTATTCTTACTGAGAACCAAAGTTCTTCTAAAGATAAAGCATGGGATACGAATCTTAGGACTCAAACAGCCTCAAATGAGATTTAACTTCTACTTCATAACTAAACACAACATGAGTGGAGGTGTGCAAGGGGAGAGTTTCGGGCAGCATGAACTTACTCGGATGATGGAGCTTTACTCATTAAGTTATTAGTAACAGGTACGCGCTGTACAGGGAAACGAAACATGAGAAGAAAATGTTAAAATAATTAAACACACAGAACTAAAATTAGCAAGAGAAAAGGACGATCACAGGGATGACCAGCAGGAGTCCTTGCAATAAAACACTGGAGGAAGAAAAGGGAAAAGGCAGGTCAGATCATCAAGGCTAAAACAGACACCGGGTAGGGAGCAGGCAGGACTGAAGAAACCAGGTGAGGGGAGCTCTGGGATGACAGGTAAAAGCACAGGCTTGGGAAGTTTGACGGCTCTGCGGTCAAACCCCACTCTATTGCTTATCGCTTCTGTGACCCCGAGCAAGCTGCCCCAATCTCCAAACCTGGACTTCCTCAGCAGTACTAGGACATCAGCAGTGCCTACGTCATGGAGCTGTTGTGCAGACTGACTGAGCTAATCCATGGAGAGTGCTTAGCACAGGGCTTGGCACATAGTATGTGTTCAGTGAATGCCAGCTGTTATCAGTATTTAAATCCTGGCCCTGCCACTTGCTAGCCGTCTGACAGTGAATAAGCTGCATACCCTCACTGAGCTTCAAAAACCCCACAAACACAAATGAGATAAATACCTTTCCCCCGGGGTTGTGACAATTAAATCAGATATCCCACACATCTCGCACAGCCTACTACTGGCACGGAGCAAACTCGGCATGGAGAAATAGTTGTCACTGTTATCAATATTATCATTATTATCACATTGAAGAGGGTGCCGGAGAAGCACCCGAAGCTGGAGGAAGATTTCCTTTAACTAGGCTGAGCTAGTTCTATTACTGAAGACCACGCAGAATTTTCCATGGTTCCTTTCAGCTGCAAAGTCCTGACCTCCCCAGGAGTATGGATCAAAGAGACAACCACTTCAACTAAAGTGAGCACTTACCTGGAATTTCTGGGCCTCTGCTTGCTGATGGGCTTCTCTGGCTTTAGCAAGGGCAGCATTGAGCCCTTCGATTTCAGAGTTCTGTCCTTCAACCTGGGTGAAAATAAGGACCAAGTAGGCAACTGGGCTCCTTCTATCCCTGCGCTGCCCGAATGTGTGTCCTGCTGA